CCCCCCCCCCCCCCCCCCCAGTTTCAGAGTAGCCGGGCAAAGTTCCGAGATAAACAATACAAGGAAATCAGATGTGAATCTCCCGAATATCGCAAATGCGGTCCGCCACCAAATTGAAGGTTTTAGTTGTGGCCCCTGAGGCCTTACAACATGGAGACGTCTGTTAAATGTAATTTAATATCATCTGATCCCTAAAAATTGCACTCCATATTGAATAAAAGAAAAACGATGAAACACTATCGGAACTGTTATCTTACGAGAGAAGGCAACTCAGGAGTGAACAGCCATACGTTTCGTAATTATTTTGAAGTCAATTGCATGTGTTTTAATTACTGTATTTATATTATTTGCCACGCGAATGCACATAGTTCAGTTAACGCTGCGCTAGCAACCGTGCGTTGCATGCTCCTTGGTTGAAGTGCACGTTTTCTAATAATAGCTGAGGTGCTGCGTGAAGAGCAGAAAAAGCAGTATTTCAATATTACGTAGCTGTTTCTGATAACGCGAGAAAGTACGAGTTGTTGTAGCTCCGGTAGTTTGAAAAGTTAGTAGTTTTCGCGCTTTATTGCGAGCAATACGTGCAATTTAAGAAAAAGTACAAAAACAATATTTTTTCAAACATGGCTTCAAATTTTTTCTTTAAATTTTGGTAGAAATAGTGCTAAATATACTCTGTGAGATGACATAAACGCCTTATTGCTCTACTCTTTTGTGTTAAAAATTTTATCTTACTTTCTCCACGTCGTTAATATTTATATCAGCGGTTTATATTTCTGAGTACTTGTGCTTTAAATGATGTTACATAAAGTTTCTCGAAAACTCAAGTTTCCTGTGAAAACAAACTCAAAATTACACATTTTCAGACACGCTCAAAAGTCATTTTCTCAAAAAAGGCTTCAAATTTGTCTTCAAACTTTTCAAATGGATAGTGTTAATTGCACTCTTTAATATGACGTAAAGTTCTTTTTTTTTAAATTATGATGGGAATGGGTAACACCAGAACGGTATAAATGTCATTTTACAAATTCTTAGAAAAACCTGTTTATATTAGGTCATATTTCAGTGCCAATGTAATTTCGTGGTTTTAATAAACAGTAGAAATACCATAGTTTCATTATTACACAAAGCATAACGACATTACAGTGATATTGAGTTAAATAAATAGTTTTCTCAGTATTTATAAAATGTGACTTATACGGTTCTGGTTTTCACCCATTCAAATGTATTTTTTTGGAAAGATATCTCACTCTGTTAATATGCACATATCCATCAAATTTGTAAACACTATTCTATTGTGAGTTAAAGTGATTCAAATGACTTCTAATAAAGTTTTTCGAAAGCTCAAAAGTTTTCTGTGAAAAAAGAGCTTCAAATTTCGAATTTACCTTAAGCGCCAGTTTCTTAAAAACGGCTTCAAATGATTCAAAGAAAATTGCCATTTAGGAAGAGATTTTACTGTTCTTTATTATTCTTAAAATAATATTTCCGTTTTACTATTAGGAAACCACAAAAATTAAGAAAAAATTTAAAAAAAATTGTACTTTCAGTGGCTGCTGGCAAGAGAATGTGGCATCCCCAAATAGCTAGCCGAGATCAAAGGAAATATAAAACTAATATGGGAAAGTCTGTGACATCTAGTTATCTGTGACATCTAGCACCTCTAGTTATTTCTGTCGAATTCTGCGTTATGTCAAGACGGTATTAGAACAGCATGTCGAAAAAAATCGTCGTACTCCTATTTAGATTTAACACGACTAAACACAGGAACGAAAAGCCATTCTTACCCGACGGCGACCGACAAGGATTTGTGCCGGCCGTTACGAGCAATAAAAACAAGTGAGTTGTGTGTGGCTAATGATATGGTATCAGTACACTAATTTCAAGAAATGTTATTGTTTGTTTGGATCCTATAGTATGATATTACCTATAGTACGATAACCAACTCAGAGTCACGGTTGGTATTTAATGTTTTTCGGACTGATGACGTCAATAACTAAATGAGCACGCACTTACCTCGAGGTTCTCGAGAGCGTTCAGCGCCTGTTCGTGGCAGAGGAGTATTTCATTCAAAGCCGTGCGCACGCACGCCACGCTTTCGACTAGCAGCTGCAAGTCCCCCCCTTCGTTGTCGCTCATGATCCTTCAGGAACTTCTGCACGCAGAAGAAGACCAAGCTGTCGACGAGACACGGTTTGGCGCAGGGCGGGGCACGATCCTACGCATCGTGACTGCGGGGAAGTGTGTGTCACGATCAACACGAGGCGATGTGACGTGGTGTGAAACAGCGAGGAAGCGTCTTGGTGCAAAATAATGTATTGGGAAGTAGCTGCAGGGAAGTGTGACGAAACAACGCGAGGCGAGGCGACGTGGTGTGAAACTGAGTTGGGAAGTGAGTGCGGGGAAGTGACACGAAACAACACGAGGTGATGCGACGTGGTGCGAAACAATGAGTGGGAAAGTGGGTGCGTGTATGCGACTGGACGCAACATGATGCGATGCGACGCGGCAGCGAAATGCGACTCAATGTGATGAAGTACAAAGTACCTGCGGTGATGCAGCACAATGCGATGCGATTCAATGTTGCTGCTGGAACGCAATGCAATGCGAAGCTTGCAGGGTTGCGACTTGATTGAAAAGGCGATGCAAAGACACGAATCTATGTGATTTTGATGTGAAGGAATGTGCTGGCACTAAGGGCGGACGGAATTCTGAGGTATCGTAACCGCCGAGTTGGACAGATAGCAGCTGTGGGGGCAGCGGTCGTGATAACAGCTGAGTTGGATGACGGCTGATAAGATTTCCTCGACTCCACGTCTCGCGGCGTCTCGGCGCGTAATATGGATCGTGATCTCACCCAGAAAAGTTGCAACTCTGCTTGGTTGAACAAGTGGATCGATGAGGACTAAAAGTTCGAGCAAAGTTATAGGCAGAAGTGGCTCAGGGAACTGATGACGCAGCAGTGCCTCTGATTGGGAGGTCCTAGGGATCGATTCCCAACGGTGGCAGGATTTTCCACATACATAGCTATGATCAGATCAGCTGCCGCCTGGAGGAGAATTCTAGCGACCAGCTACACTGATCGGTAGTGCCGTGGTTTCTCCGATCAACACTAGACGTATGCAAGAGTAGTACCCTAACAAACGGGGCGCGGACCGCAGCGTGTTATTTCATTCACCTTTCTTCCCCTATTCTCACCTCTTACTTATACAATTACGTGCACTACGTACATACACTACCACACATGCCGGGAGGCCGGTTGGGAGCTTAGAACTCGTCCCGACTGAAGCAGTACCTCGCTAGTGGTCACCGTCACATCCCTAGGACGAAACACGCACTACACTTACAGGACTAATGACAATAGCAGTTGATGCGTCCGGTATCATAAATTAATCTAACAATTTTTGGTTACGTCATTGCAGTAGTTGTATGTAAACTGGATTAGTCCGTCCGTCGGTTACACCCCTTTCTGTCCACCAATCAAATCAAGTGAGGTGTAATTCAACGCGTTTCAGTCTCCTGGTGAGGATCTGATATTTTTTGTTGATCATTCCAGAATATTCTAATAAAATTTATGTAAAAACGTTTTTGTTTTGTTTTGTTTTTTAAGGTAGTGAAAAATGGTTGAATCACGGCACCTGCAGAGGTAATTAATAGCTCATTCTATTCTCGTGAAGAATCAATTGGCACAATTAGTATTAATCGGTTCTTTTTAGGATATTCAAAAATAATTCTAAAAAAGTAAAAAAAAAAGTGTTTCTATGGTAGGTTGGTATGGGTTATGGTGTGAACCGCATTTTGTCACAATATCGTGTAACAGAGTTTTTTGATGTGTGAACGAAATGATGAATTACTTAAGGAGCTGCACCGGCACATACTTTCTCGCAATATTATAATGTTATCGTTAAGTAGAGTTATGTACAAAATTTATGCCTTCTTGCACTTCAAAAATCACGTGATCTCGTAAATAAAGAAGCGCGAATAATAGTTTTTTATCTAAAAGTTCAAATGAAAATATATTTCTGGCATTGAATTCAGTGTTTTACGAACAAATCCGATGGGCATTGAACCTTAAAATATTTTACGTAAACAGTTTACGAGAAAGTAAAAAAATTAAGTTAATAAATAATACGATCCACCGACGGCGATAGATTTCACTTCAACGCGTTTTAGATTTATTTGGTAAAAAAAAGAAACAGTAAAAACTGTATGTGACTTGTGAAGGAGAATATCATCTGCGCATGAATTCTTGAGTTCCAGAATCCCTTCCCGTCATTTTAACAATAAATAGTTGAAAGGTGAGTAAAAGTTAGAGGTAAATAAATAAATAAAAATAAAATTTAAAAATGCGCGAGATTAGCAATATTTGAAAAAACTGGACATTTTCGTTCCCGAGTTATAGAAAAACTAATTTGCATTGGTAAACGAATTGCAGATATGACTTTTCAACATTGCTAACAAAATAGTATCTCGCCCTTGCCTTACCTCCCACCATTACAAGCAAAAGGAGAGTTCAACAAAATGTGCGCATAGTGAAGCTACATTTATCGCGTTGCTGCCAGCGCTGCTTTAAAAACAACACAATAACACTGATAGCGCTGGGAAGCAAATGCAAGAGTTCGACAAATACATAATAGTATTTATTAAATACTATTGTTCTGTAATATTCTCGAAATCTACACGTTTTAACACGTTACTCCTTGTCTGAACATGGAATGTTAAATGCACCATATATTAGCTCACCTAAGAAAATTTTCCCAAATTATCATTACTAATCGAAGAACAAACGCTCCTTTCCATCAGTATTCAGGATTCTATATGTATATGGGTAAGAAAAAGTATCCCTGAATTTAAGATAACAATCACAGAGTACCTTTCTTCCCAGAGTTCGTCACATTATTATTCGGTGTATGATTTTTTTTTCGGTGTCTTCCTACAACTGCAAAATTAAAGATAGAGATTTTTCCATCAAATAAAATTTGTTCTCCAAAGTTCTTTCGTTAAGCTCATTAACATTTTCTGAAAAATTTAGTAGTATTTGCGCAATATTGCGTGCAATAAGTACAATTTTAAAAAAATTACAAAAACCAGTTTTTCTCAAAATGGGGCCCAATTTTTTTATTTAAACTTTTAGTAGGGATAGTACTAAATGTACTCTATAAGATGACATAACGTCATATTGCTCTATTCTTTTGTTGATTCACAAATTACAAAAATGTAATTGTTTTTGACTTGCTTCGCATGTCGTTAATATTTATATTAGCGGCAATTTGTTCACATTCTTGTATTAATGAGTACATATGCATTAAATGATGTAATATGAAGTTTCTCGAAAACTATACCCTTTTTCTGTGCAAACTAGCTCAAAACTCTGCATTTTCAAAAACGCACAATCTCTATTTGTGCCCTTAATTTTTTCTTCAAACATTTCAATTAGATATTGGTAATTGCACTCTTTAATATGACGTAAATTTAATTTCGGTGAATTTTTTGTTATTACAAAAGTTATAGAAATGTAAATATTTTGAAAGGTCTCTCACGCCGTTGATATGCACATTTACAGCAATTTGTAAACACTGTTGTATTTTTAAGTGTAAGTACTTAAAATGACTTCAAATTAAGTTTTTCAAAAACTCAAAAACTTTCTGTGAAAAAGAGCTTCAAAATTCGAATTTACAGTAGCGCTTAAAAGTCACTTTTTTAAAAAGTACTCCATATGTTTCAAAGAAAATTGCCATTAAAACGAGGTTTTACTGTTCTTAAATAGCCTTAAAATAATATTTACATTCTACTATTAGAAAACCGAAAAATTAAGAAATTTTCAAAAAAATTTGGGCGGCGATAGTAGCAGGCAAGCAGCAGAAAAACTCTGCTGCTTGCCAATGTAAAAAAAATTGGAACCTTTTTTGAGTAAATAATTATTGAAATTTAAAAATTCCTTATGTTTGATGCCAAATTACGTAGAAAATACTGATATTATCGAAACATTTAAAAAGGCTTGATTTGTAGATATGTTTTTGAAATTATTAAAAAATTAGCTTTTTAATAATTATAGTTGTGGGAAGACACAGACAAACAGGTTGAATTTTTGCGAACTCGAAAAATAAGGGATTTTACCGAAAACGAAACCTGCGCCATTGGTATTAGAGAACATTTGTACACCCAGTAAACTTAGGAAATGTGGAACTAGTTCATAGAAAAAAGAAAATGAACACAAAAAAATCAATATCCAAATATATATACGAAAGTAATTTAACAAAAACTACAAAAGATAATAATTGTAAAGTATTCCTAAAACATACAACATTAGCTCTTAAATTTACACGATTTTTCGTTAATAATGTTGCTTATTTCAGGTCTACCGTTGGCCTTCTTTCTATCCTCCTTGGTGTCCTCCAGGAACACGTAAGGAACTGCTAAGCGACTTTTAACCGAAATATTATTGAACTAAAAAAAAAACACGTTTAGATGTTTAATAACCCTAAAACAAAACTAAGTCCGATCTTTTAATTTAAAGAGATCTCGTGCAATAACCCTTCACTGCAACTGCCACTGACCTTGCGGAGAGTGAACCTGCGAAGATCGCGGCGACGGCTTTGGCGGCGGCGTAAAACATTGAATCAATTAGAGCGCGGCCGCCCGCGCCGGAGCTGCGGTTCGATCGCTGGAGTCACGTGGTGCGGCGCGGGGAAGCCCCGCTAATCGACCCGTCACAGAGCGCTGCGCAGTGAACACGGAGGAGGAGGCCACGCAGTGTCCAAAACAAAATAGCTCTGAGCGGCCTCCTCCGGACGACCGACTGGCGCGCTCTAAAGGAAGAATAATTGCTAACGGCTTGTCACATTAGTTCTAAAATATATGCATGTTTTTCTTCCATTATATTGCTTATTTCAGTTCCACAGCAGACCCTCCTTAGAGTTCCAACGTACACTGGCAGAAAAAAGTATTGCAACATCCCGATTGTACATTTTATTCTTCCGTACAGATACAGCACATACCAGAGATAATACTACACTTTATTGCTTCGTGCTATGTTACATGATTACATGGCGGCGATGGTGTAACGTTTAGCGTATCGGACTGTTATACCCAATTTGGGGGTACAAAGGGCGAGAAAATCCTTCGAACGCCTTCCTTTGCAGGGGAAGTAAAGTCGGCTGTCCCATGTTAGTAGATTTACTACATGTAAAATATCCTCGAGTCTAAATGAAGCCTCTGAGCTAAATTCAAATCGCCTGTTTCCTCACAGAAGAAATACCCCCTTTCTCCACTAGTGGGAAAAAGGAGAGTAGCAAAATTTGCGTGTTCAGACGGAAGAGCAGGCCTGATAGCCTGAGTCTCGCCAAGGAAAATCAGGCATCAATTCAATTCAATTCAATTCATTACATGTGCAGAGCCACGTGAGTCTCACACGACCAGCAACAGAGAGAACCGTGGACTTGAAACGCCAAACCCGTCGCGGGCAGTACGACAAGCCCTGAGGTCGCGAATAGTGTCCTGCGGTACACTGTTCCACGCCTCCGCACGCAGAGCAGGCAGAGTTGGTGGGGGAGTCACAGTCAGGCGGGTCAGGCGTCGGCCCCTCATGTCTCACACATGCTCGAGCTGTCTCACACCTGCGGCAGTTGACGAATATCGCTGAGCGCATGTTGCTTAGCGCAAGCAGGGTGGGCATTGTCGTGCTGGAACAGCGCTCCACCCTCCCGTTGCAAGAAAGGCATCAGCACAAGCCGCACAACGTGCTGGATGTATCCGGCGATGGTCAATGATCCCTGCACCACCACCACCAAAGCCGAACGCGCGTTGTAGCTGACGACTCCCCACACCATTACTGCCGGGGCGGGCCCTTCGCGACGTAGACGAACACACTGCGGACGCATGCGCTCGCCTGTGCGGCGCAGCACGCACACGCGACTATCACTGACGCAGCTCTCGTCACTGAGCGCTGCCTTTCCGTGCTCACGAGCACCACCGCACGCCATTCTGTCTCCCAGCAGACCCTCACAGTGCACCACGCCTGACGCGCCCGACGATGGATGGGCGTGAGCGGCAGACTGGCTAGCGGTATGCGCGATTGTAATCCTGCTGCAAGTAACCGGTTCCACACGGTGCACGGAGACGCGTTGGGGGCCACATGTGCCTGTATCTAGGCACGGGTGGCTGTAAGGTTGGCCAACGAAGCCCTCAGGACGCGTGGAACTGGACGTTCGTCAGTGCTCCGCGGTTGCCTCGAAGGGGGCCTACGGCTGTGGGAATGATCCTCTACCCTTCGTCGCGGCACCGACGTCACATCACCGCCTACGTGGTCAGCAATGCGCCGGAAGGACCATCCGGCATCGCGCAGGCCGACAATCCCACCCCGCTCGAAGTGGTCCGATTGCTTAAAGGACAAACGAGTGCGACGCCGTGGCGTACCTAAGACCCGACTACACATTATTGCAGTGGACAACGCCTTTTAAAGCCGCGGAGTACATGGTGCGTCCGGGCCATTTCGTCACACTGCCATTACGTCACCGGGCGTCTGTCGTCCGTGAAATGTTAGTCATGGCTTCATCACGGCTTCTACGACCCCCATCCCTAACGTCCCTCACCGCCTACTTGATTGCTCGTGCCCTTCCCGGAGATGCAATACTTTTTCCGCCAGCCTAGATTGCAATCGGTACAATGTGCTGCCATCCGACAGTCACTGGGGCCTATACTTCGATTTTTTAAAAGTGACCTATGAATTTAGTTCATTGTTACACTTCCTGCCTTATCAAATTAATCTTTTGAACAGCGGTTGGCATAATTCTCAGGCAACGAGACCCGTTGAGGGCGTTCGCGAATTAATTAAAAATATTCATTTTATAGTGCAGGAGCTATAACAATGACAAAATATCATCGGCCACTTTACAACAATGAAAGTAATGCCAAGACCCGCGCCATATTCCTTCCTGTTTTTTTGCATTATCAGTGAAAATATAAACTATTCATTAGTTTTAGTATTACTCCCGATATCCCGTGTACGAACGATGTAACGAAATCGTCGACATGTCTCACATATCCAAACGCCGGTTACTGGGAAATTAGAAACAGATTGTAATCGATACAATGAGCTTCAACTCGCCAGCCACTGGAGCATAGCCAAGCTTCCCGCAGTCTTCTAAAAGAAATTTCGTTAATTTTCATTTTCAGTGAAACTATTTATTTGCTTTAGTATATTTCCCGAGATCCTTCCTGCAAACTAAGTAACGCCACATCTCACATGGGCAAAAGCTGCTTAGCTTTTACTCCATTTCTGCCCACGTGACTCTGCAGATGTTTCAAAATATATACACTTCCAGGACAGAGGTGGAGATGGAATTCTTGGAATCTGAGAGGATTCTGAATGCTAAACAAAATGAATTTAGTGTTTAATTTCTTTGTGTGGAGATTCCGAGGTAAAACTAAATTGAGAGCCCCAGAAATCGTTCCGATGCTACCAACTAAACGATCTCGGCTACCCAGTTTGGCTCACGGTATTGCAATTTTACTTTCTCGCTACCGCTTATGCCAGGCCTGCACAGCATTGGACTGACCTCGCGAACCACCAAGTTTTTCTTAAAACTTGTCATGCGGATAGTGCTAATTGTACTGTTTAAGGTCATACATTTTGCTGTATTCTTTTTTTTATATCACAAACGTATTTTTTAAATGCCTATCACGCCTTTAATACACGAATTTCTTACGAGTTGTGTACATTATTGCATTTGTCAGTCAAACTGCTTCAAATGACTTCCAATAGTTTCTCGAAAACTCAAAACTTTTATGTGAAAAGGAACTTCAAATTTTGCAAGTACGGTAATGCTTAAAGGCCATTTTCTTAAAAAAGCTCCAAATTTGTCAACGAAAATTTCCTTATGGGACAATATTTTACTCTTCTTCAATATTATTAAAGTAACATTTCGGTTCTGTCATTAGGAAATCGAAAAATTACAAAAATTTGTTGACGTGTTTCTGACGTAAATATTTATATAGCAATTAGTTCACATTCTTATATTTATGAGTACATGTACCTTAAATAATGTCCTATAAAGTTTCTCGAAACCTCAAACATTTTCTGTGAAAACTAGCTCAAAATTTCGGATTTTCAGGTACGCTTAAACGCTATTTTCACAAAAACTGTTCCTAATTTTGCCTTCAAACTTTTCGAAGGTTAGTGCTAATTTCACAGTTAATATGACATAAAGTTGATTTTGGAGTATTTTTTGTATTTTCTAAAATTATACAAATATAAGTTTTGGATGACATCTCACCTTTAATAACCAAAAGTCCTGCAATTTGTAAACACCATTGAATTTGTGAGTTAATGCGCGTTAAATGACGTCTAATAAAGTGTTTCAAAAACTCAAAACTTTTATGTGAAATAGAGCCTCAAATTTCGAATTTACAGTAGTGCTTAAATGCCGTTTTCTTAAAAACGACTACAATTTTTTTAAAGGAAAATTGTCATTTAGGACGGTGTTTTACTGTTCTTTAATATTCATAAGTTATATTTCCGTGTTTCTATTAGTCAACAGAAAAAATATAATAATTTCAAAAAAATGTACAGAATTTATCCAGTTTTTCCTTACCAGGGCCGGCAATAAGAGTATTATTTTGCACACGATTAGAAAACTTCTTATGTTTATAAGTGCGCGAAAGTAAAATGTTAGTGAAATGATTTAAATACCTAAAATTCCTGAAGGGTTGCATTATGTAAAAAATATAATTTCAATATTGAAGGTGAAAAAGGACTGAACTTTTGAAATTTCAAAACTAAAAATGACACACTAGAATCTATATAATATTATTAAGCAAACTTTATGGGCCAGAGAGGCCAACTTTATGGGCTTTTGAAGGGAAACAAAATTGGAACCGTTAATAAGCTTTGTAGCGTAGGTATCTGAATGATTTTAACACTATTCATTTCCATAGAAACAATGCAAACTTACTTTAGCATCAAAATCCATCAACATCGCACCTAGAAATTAACAATTTTCTGAAAACAACCATATACTCTCCGAAATTAACTAACTACAAAAAAATGCTAAACATAATATTTGCAGCACGGATTAAATAACAATGGTTAAACTTACTTTCATTTTACATATATTTGTATTGAGAAAAATGGGTTTTATCAAAAAATCACTTACATCTTTACAATCTTACTCTTGCGAAGGTAATCCGATCTGGCTACTATGATTGATCTGAATGAACTCGAGGCTATGGTGTTTCAAACGGATAGTTTGATTTTTGAGGGAACTTTACATCAAACGAAAGCTTTTTGATCGTCGGTCGAAGTTGGATCCATACGGCGCTTTTGTGGCGTGATGGATTGAATGACGGCGAGTTAACTCTGAGCACTACAGTTGGAGTCTCGGAGCGGAAAAAAATTCCCAGGTTGAGAAACACTTTTGAAAATTTATATAGTAGTATAATACAGCGGAGCAGTTAGAAATAATGGGAGAAATATGGGCATTTTTAGCTCTACTAGTTTCTTTATTTTTTTCCATGGATAGAAGACACGCTTAACAGAGTGGCGTGGGTTTCATTTTCTTCGAGTTCTCTTAATTTTCAAAAATAGCAAATTTAGAAATAATGCGAGAAAGTATTTGCTCATGTACCACACTATTTTCCTATTTTGTTCCCGAGATACCGGAACTCCGCGCCGTTCTGCCGCCGCGTTTGCTAAAAATCAAGTCCTGCGTATACGAGAAAGTAAAAAGTTTATACTTAGCTATTCTTCCTAATCACGTATAAAGCCCACTTCCGTGAAAAATAAATGTGAATATATTACCGGGCACAGCGAAGAAGGTCGCGAACTTTTTAATGGATGCTCGTGAACAATAAATGCCTGGGCAACGGCGGTTTTCTTCAGCTTCTAGCAATATAAATAAAGCAACCAAGCAATTCTGAGCAGGAACGTTTACTATTAAATAGAGAGAATCATTTCTGGAACGAAACACTTGAGGTAACAACAACAAATATTATTTCTTTTACAAATGTAAAGTAAATTCATCCGTTGACTAAGTGTAGATTATATTGTGCAGAAATAAAAAAAACATACACTGTTACAAAGTAGCGGTAATTTCTTTATTACAGCAGTTCAGCATCGCAAGTTATTGCTACAATCATTGAATATTGTTGAGAATATTTGATTAAAAATATTTTCAATTGGAAAGGAAAATATTACCTCAGTTTTTCTAACTACTTCCATACAAAACCTTTCAGTTCTCTACAGTTGCATAATGCAGGACCTTTTGAGTTCAAGATCTGACGGCATTCTAACTTACGTAACAGAAACAAAATTAAGCAACATTGTGAATGAGAGAACTATTTCCTCAATATGTAAATGTTTTTAGTCTTGAAGAATTTCAATACATGCTGATCTATTATTTACTTTAGCAAGGTCAAGTGCTGTGCGCCCTTTCTTATTCTTTAGTTCCTTCTTCGCTCCTTTCTTCAACAATTCCTTTACGCATTCATCGTGCCCATTCGCAGCTGCGTAATGCAGCGCCGTCCAGTGTTGGTTGTTTTTCGCGTTGATGTCGACTTCTCCGTCCAAGAGTGCAACGATGCAGTCTTTGTGTCCTTCCTCTGCGGCCGCGCGCAGCGCTTTCTTAAACGATGCCTTCGCCTCCACGAGAGCTCCAAGCAGAACCTTCAGCACATCAAGACGTCCCTCTCGCGCCGCGTTCACCAGTATTTTCCCCGTTAATTGTTCCTTTGTCGCCTTCCTCTCGAGCAATTCCTTCATGCATTCGGCGTGACCATTCGTAGCTGCAAGATAGAGGGCCGTGTGCTTCGTTTTAATGTCTCGCGCATTGACGTCGACTCCAGCGTCCAACAGCGCAACGATGCAGTCTCCGTGTCCTTTCTTGGCGGCCGCCCGCAGTGCCATTTCAAGCGATTCCTTCGCGTTCACGCCTACTCGAAGAAGAGC